GTCTAGCTGTGATGTAGCTTCCTTCAATCTCATCCGTGTATTTGCTTGTGACATCGTTATAGCTACATCGTACTATAGTCCATCACCAAGTCATTGCCATCGACTCAGGTCCTTGTCCTGCTTGCCTGCTCTGGAGCTTCCCAATCGTCCGAGAACGTGTATGACTCGAAGCACGTCCCTATAGCCCCGTCCGTGTCGAAGAACATAAACTCGCAGGTCCCTTTCTTGCCATGCCAGATCCCGGTTTGAACTAGGTCATACCCACGGCTTTCAAACTCCTTCCTCCGCTGCTGCTGGGGTACATGGTGGCATTCAAAGGCTACGTGATGAATGCCTTCTCCGCGCGTGTCCAGAAACTCGCGCATGATGGACGGCCCAGATGTTGGCTGCATGATCTCCCAGACCATATCTTCGTGCGTAGCAAACGCAACCACGAGCTCAAAGTCCGAAGGCTTGCCGCGGAACTGGCGGTTGGTGACGGTTTGGCCATCAAACGCGTACTTTTCAAAAGGACCGATACCGAGCCTTTCGAGGTTGCTGATGACTTTTTCGCAGTCCGCGGTGACTATGCAGATTTCCACGACTTTGCCCAGGAATGAGGACACAGTAGTGGTAGCGTTCGCATCCATGGTCTTTGACTGATGTAGAGGTTCCAAGATGACCGGAAGGCCTGCCGCTGAGGATGCTTACTGATATGAACTGCAATCAGGAATATATACATATATATATATATATATATATATATATATAAATATAAAGGCGTGCTCATTTGAAAACTTATTGAAAAGGAGCTGCTTATTTTAGCCCCGTGCTCAGCAGTAGCCTCATAGGGGATCGGAAGACGGCGAGTGAATTATTCTGCGGTTGACAAACCTCGACCTCGATACTTGACGGCAATGGCCTCCGGTGAAATGTCAGCGCCGCGAGACGCTCCTCTCCCGCCCCGCTAGCCCACAAACTAGCATCGGCGGCCATCATGGACCTTGCCCGATTTGGAAAGTAGAGGCTACTGGACATGCACCCGGGGAACTACATGTAACCCGTGTAAGGGTCCAAGTAGGCACTACTAGATAGTAGATAACCGGAGGGTTCGAAAGCCAAGGCTTAGCAGTCCTCAGGAAAGTTCTTCAACTGATTGCACCAGCACGTAAGCCAATATAAGCCCCGAGATGCAGACCTGACTCCAATCAATCTCCTACACCTTCCTTAACCGTCCATACGCAGCGCGTTACAAGCAACGACAATGAACGCTTCGACGAGTCCCGTCCCTGGCAACGCCGGCACCGCGTGGACCGCGAGGACCACGACGACGAATCTACGATCTCGCGGCGGCTGCGGTGAGTGCCGCCGCGTCCATCGGAAATGCGACGAGCGGCGCCCTTCGTGCGGCAGATGCGTGGCCACGAGGAAAGCGTGCTCATACCACAAGCCACTCTCCTGGGGAGGGCGCCCGTTTGCCAAATCCTCCTTTGGAGTCTTGGCGGCCAACGAGGCCGTCTCAGCCACTCCAGCCGAGTGGGAAGACTCATCTGTCCCCGGTGAGTGGACGGTTCATCCATCAGCCCCCTCCAACTTCTTTCAGCGTGGCTAACGTCGTGGAACATGCCAAAGAGTCCCGCCGCTCTTTTGTGTACAGCGCAACCGCGTTTTCCACTGGTGCAGAGCACGCCGCCGATGCGGGAGTCTCCAATCGATCCAGCACTGCTGGTACTGCCTCCGGATCCTCGCCTGTCAGCCTTGCCGCCATTGTGCAGCCCGATGTGCTGTGCCAGCTGTCCGAGGGCGACCGCTCCCTCATCCACCACTTTGCCTACCATCTCACCCCGTGCTTTTCTCTCAGCCCAACTCAACACGACAAGTTTTGCCGAACCTTTTTGCCTCTGGCCTTGGATCGGACATATGGGGGCGCCGTCCTCAGCGCCATCGTCCTGTGCACGACGATCCACCGCGCGTCCCCCGGGAGCGACGCGGCGCAGCGTGCGCAACTGTACTTGAAGTGCATACGTGAACTGCAGCAGGTGCTCCGGCATCCGGCGCCCATCAGGGGGGACGTGGCCGCCGCCGCGTGCCTAGTCCTGTGTCTCGCGGATATCCTGGCTGGGGGTCAAGATTTTGGGGCGTGGAAGCTACACCTCAACGGCGCGGCCGCTTCCCTCGACGCTGTCCAGTCAGATGCCGTCGCCACCCAGCGGTCGCTGTCGGAAACGACCTCGTTCCTTTGGCGATGGTGTCGATCGCTCCGAACAGTGGGGTTTTCCACTGCGAACCCTGACCAGTCGAATTTCGTCATGGACACTGGCTCGAATGGAGAGCCAAGCAAGCCATTCCACTACATTGACGTGTTCGACGGGTTTTCTACAGACTTGGTTCCAATCTTCAGGGACATCAACGACATGGCAGTGGAGATGCGGGCCATACGAACCCTTGAATTACAGAGTTCCGGTTCCGCTGACTCACACTGCATTTGGGATCTGCGCTGCATGCTGCTTCGTCGCGGTCAGCGCCTCGTCTCGCAACTTGAGAACATGGCCAAGGCTCCAGTCAACAAATTGGACCCTTCCCTCCCACAGTCAGTCAGAGATGAGCACGGTGCGGAGTTCCGTCTATTAAACAAGGCTTGCCACCACACGGCGCTTCTTGAAATCTACCAGCGCGTTCTCAACAAGTCGCCGTCGGACCCTGAAGTCCAAAACCAGGTGGAAGCTGGTATCAAGTGCCTGAAGTCGTTAAACTTGACCAAAGGCTCCACCCCGGGCGTTGCCTCGTTGCATCCCGTCTTTATCATTGGCTGCTCGGCCACCACCGCTTCTGATAGGATGTTCATCATGGATTGGTTGGGGAACATGCGGCAGCTGTACCGCATGGGCAACGTTCCGTCGGCCAAGTTGTTCCTGTTTGAACTCTGGCAGCATAACGATGCCCTCAAGTCAGCAGAGGATTACGCCCAATGGCACGATTTCATGTGTACGTCCTCCATGGTTCCCTGCCCTTGCTCTGCCCGTGAGACTGCTCATGGCTGCTAACATCATGCAGTGCAGAAGAACATGGACCTGTCACTTTACTAATGTAACGTTAGGGGTGCAAGGGAAAACCTTGCTTCTGTGAACGTGGTCATGCGGTGTGGCGGTGCACAAGAGTGATACACAGGAGATTTTGCCCGCTCGACGAAGGGAGCAAGGCTGCGATGAATTAGAACTAGTGTCTCAACAGTTTCTTGTCCGGCACTACCTCATCTAATGTAGTCCCAAACGGCCATGTTTCCCTGAGCGGCAGCATTGGTCGTTGGTGGCGGTGGAAGCAGTGACTGAATGCGGCAGTATCCGCGTCTGTATGATCAAGCCTGTTCTTTATCTCGGTTTTCTCCATGCTGCTCTTCCCACTCGTTGACGAGAGATGGCTCCTCCACGAAAGCTTCGGAAACCACGTATCCCTGCCGCCGCTTCCAGATCCAGCAGGCCGTGATGACGATTGATAGACCTACCAGCACCGCGCTGGTGTAGTTCATGGAGCCCGCAGTCACCGGCTGCGAATAGGGAAAATTAAAAATGACAAGGAAGAAGCCGATGAAGGCACATGCCACCCCGTACACAGTAGCCCCTACCCAGCCTCTCATCCAAAAGACGCCCGGCAACAGTCCCTGACGGCCGGAAAGCAAATGCGGAAGCATGGCAGCCAGATACGCCAACAGGTTCAGGCACACCACCGAAGTTGCAAAGGCGCTGAGCGCCGTTTTTGATCCCAGGTAAATAAGTCCAATGAGCGTATTCAAGACCGCCACGCAGAGGGCGGCGTTGACTGGATTGTGAAGAGTCGGCGAGATGCGACCGAGTGTACCGGCGAAAGGCACCGCGTTGCCCCTGCCCAGCGTCCAGACCACGCGCCCGGCGGTGACATAGCCGCCCACAATGGCCCAAAAGGATGGCAGGAAGATGAGCAACGACAGTCCGAGTGTTCCGCCTACAGATTGGGTGGCTTGCTGGTATATGGGCGAGATGGGAAATAGATATGCCATTGCAGCTACCGCTCCGACATCCTTAGCGGCATAAAATATCGCGATGAGGTAGGCGAATGTCCTGCCGAAATATACCGGTGAGTAATGCATTCAGCCAATGATTCGCCAAATGGTGGGAAGTGGAAAGGGGGCTTTCTGACGAGATGAACCCAATGATAAGCTGGGCAAAAATAGCCGTGGGCAAAACTCTCGACGGACTAGAGGCCAGTCAGCGGGATAGGGTCCAAAGAGGCCTTTCGGGAACATACTTTGTTGCTTCTTCAGCTATGTGAGAAATGCAATCTATCTTCACGTCAGTCCTCGGACCTTCCAGTTAGAAGTGTAAGGAAACTCATGGGGCACCCATCCCCCCGTACCTGGAACGCCAAAAGCAAAGGCCCCATTCAGCATGCCCATCAGAAACACCAGGCCGTTGCTCTCGTAGCCTGTATCATTCTCCCATTCAACCCACACGGAACGATTGCTGCTGTATCCGGCCCCGTGGACGGCTGGCATGACGCAGCAGACGACGATGGTGACAAGGACACCGGCCAAGATGAGCACCAGGCCGACGTCGTTGATTCTAGCCATGAAACGGTGGCCGAATATGACAATGGCGCAGCTAATCCAGGAACAGCCAAAATACGCAAGGAGGACGTGCCAGGGTTGGGATACATAGTCTGGACGAAACAAGGCGTACATCTAATTACACCACAGCGTGTCAGCCGTATCAATCGCTCTTTTTGTTGATCCGCAAGTTTCCTGACGAGTCTGCACTTGCTTTCTTGTTTCTCTTACCTGCACTAATTGGACGGCAGAAATGGACGAGGTCGCGACCGTGGCAAAAATGTAAGCGAAGGCGTTGTACCAGCCAGCATAGAAACCGAGGACTCGGCCCCATTTGCGCCCTCCCGTCACCGTGGCCCAATAGTATACTATATTTCAGTTGGTTGATCGTCAGTGGCTCCCGTTGCCAGACTCTTGAGCTCTGCACATTCATGACGGAAACCGTAATCGACTCACCTCCAGCAGAGGTAGGCATGGCTGAGGCCAGTTCAGCAACGCACGCAGTGATGCTGAAATAGACTAAGCAGACGGCGACTCTGTAATGTCCGTCAGCGCTCATGTCGAAGACGAGTGAGGGTCCAGCGTCAGGTGAGGTTGCTCATTGATACTTACAGCTCGTAGATCACGCCGGGTGGGCCTCCGTTATACAACGACGTTTCCTGCGCGGCGCAAAAGAAAGTCAGCATCACCACCTTTGGGCCTTGGGAATTAATTTCGAGGAGTGTCGGTCAGTCCACGTACAATAATACCACCAAATAGAGGCCAGGCGCTGCCAGTCATGACCCCTAGGGCACAGGCGTCCCAGGTGCCGAACTGCCTGCGCATGCTCTGGGCCGTGTGCGGATCTTCCATCGTGTGTGTCTTTCTCTGTTGCGGCAGAAGAGTAGCCGCCGACAATTGCGTTTCTGGTATTTGGCGTTTATAGTCTCCCTGGCCGCCCGGTGAGAAGTTCCTCTGGCGGAAACGTCTATAGGCGGATCTCGTTCGACAATGGTGAACGATGGGGGCAAACGAGGAAAGCGACCACTCTGGGTATTTAACCGTCGAACAAGTACTTGTAGTTTGTTCCATAATGTCCAGTTGGCCACGACTCGGCCATGTCTTGGACTTCTTGTTGGCGTTGAATAGAATGACACTTTCGTATCTCTTCCCCGGCTCTTTTGTCTGGGGTAGGGAAGATCTGGGTTTCAGCCTCACTACGGCCAGTTTTGGGTCTGGCTAGACTAGTTTGGGCAGCTATAGGCTACGCAAAACCGCAGTCCTCTTAAGCTTTGACCTAGCAGCCTTTTGCTAGATTATTTTACCTGTGTGGCTAGATCAAGTAAAGCTTCTTAGCATGGGCAAAATATGTGTTGCTCTCCGCGCATGTTATTTCCGCAGCCAACAATCTTGTCTCCAATACTACTCTGCAGACTTGTCTTGTGACTACGATTTATTCACCCAGGGTGTAGGGGAATGTCATCTCGGTAGAAGTTGGGGCTCAATCCGTTTGCGCTCTCTCGCCGTAGTGAAGCGCAGTGTTTCTGTGCTGGCCGCGCATCGTCATTTCTCGTTGATTACGCGTTTCCAGTCGCCCAGCTCGTTGTCTTTGCAGTATCTGGTGCGCTGTTAGGGACGAAATCATTCCAAAGCCAGACAGGCGTACTTACGTTTTCCATTTCCGCAAGATACCAGTAATATTGATCTTGGTTGTGTCGGCGTAGTCAGGTTTGAGCAAGTGAACCTCCTTCAACTGTTCACGAAGCGCCGCTCGTTATGCCGCGGTAAGAGTAGCAGGCTCTTTCCGGATCCTATTCTGGGGCTCTCGTTGTATAAAGCGATTGACGAAATCCGTATAGTGACTACGTGTACTGTATCCGTCATTGCAGCCGCGAGAAATTGAAGGCGGCGCCATCGAATGCTTGGGCTAGTAATATAGCTTATCTTGAACATGATTCTAATGACGGCGTATAAAATGAGTAGTGTTTTCTCTTTAATAATAATAATAATAATAAAAGATAAGCCTTTGATGAATTGATTCACTATAGTAGGTTTTTAAAACTTACACTATTGCACATCAAGTCTCTGCATATGTTTTTAGCACAACTTGTCAAGCAGATTTTACTTGCTACTCAGTTGTCAAAGTGCACCAGATTTGGCATTTTGAACTCTTGTGGCCTCGATTGTAATTTCCCGTTTGAACGCCCGCATCTCCCAACTGGGGGGCGGGAAAAAAAAAAACTTGATCTTTCCTGATTATTTGCTCTTATGAGCTGGAATCTCTCTACCACAAATAGTCACATTACACACGGCTGACTTAAGCCTAGGCTTGTAGTCTACTCTTTCACATCGTCACACCCTGTGACGACCTAAGTCACTAATATCCTAAATAGTTAGTGGCTTGTGAGATTCCTAAGGGACAAACCTGGTCTATAGTTTATATTAGCGGATCAGTTAGGAGACTTATAGGCAATAAGTAGTAATAATAATATCACTTAGAAAGTAAGCTGCAGAGTGTGTTATAATTTTAATTCTATGTTAATAACTAGCTATTTAAGTTATTTAAGTAAATGTAAAAAAGTGAACTTATATATCCAGTTAGCTAGATAGGATTAAGGGTTAAATTCTTAATCCTATCGTAGATTATTATTAAGATTATTAATCCTGCGATAGATTAATATTATATTTCTTAATCTTATTTAATTAGCTGGCCGGTCCTATATTAATCTAGTTCTATTTACCCTATAGGCTAGTTATTACGACTATAAGTGTTAGGTTATAATATAATACTCCCCTCTTATTAGTCTTATCTTTAAGACCTTACTTATTTAAGTATAAATATCCACTCTGGCTTTCTTATTTTATTATTAATTCCCTTTATTCTTTTATTATTTAAAGGTGTATATATTAATAGTTATAATAGGTGTTTAAAAAAAGCCTTATTTTAAGATAGAGCGTTGTAATATTCTTTTAGAGATTATTTTATCTTATTTTATTAAAATAAAGGACTATACTTATTATTTAAATAAGAAAAAATATTATTTCCCTAAGTATTAAATGTTTAAAGAGAATTTTACTTAGTGTATTAAGTATATAAAGGATAATAAATCTTTATATAATGCTTGCCCTTTTATTATTACTTAATTATGAAAAATTACTTTTTTTTATGCTTAGTTTAAGGATAAATTAAAGGCAGTAGAGGAACGCTAAAAAGCTATTAATACTAAGATTAAATGTATTAGAAAATAAAAATAATTATAGTTAGAGAAAATAACTTATGCTATTGCGCAAGGGATTAATAATTTAAAGGAGTTAAAATAGGTTAAATATAAGGAGCAGAAAGCAGAGGCTGTTTATTAGGCTGCCCTATTAGCGCTTAGTTCTACTATTACCAGCCTATCCTAGTCCATTAATAATATTAATTAATTTACCTTTAAACTAAACCTATTATTATTTTTACCCCTAGAGATTAATAAAATTCCTATAGAATTATTTAAGTATTCCTCTTAAGTTCCTGTTCTAGGACCTAAGAGTTTTTATTATTATTATATCCTTTCCATTTAGTAAGGTATTCCCTTTTTCTTATTATTTTATTTATTTATATATAAGTTAGTTTTTTAATTTTATATTTTTCTTTAATATCTTAAATAATAATTTTATTTATAATTAATTTACTTATCTCTTTATCCACTAGTGCTTTTTTAAGTAATAATATATAAAAGATAGCTGTTTTTAGTCTTATATTCTTAAGTAAGTTTAATTTATAGTTAACTTTACTAATTTTCTTTAGAATTTTAAATAGTTTAAGCTTTTTAAAATCTAATTTATTACTTAGCCTATTTATTTTAATATTTAGTAATTTTTTATTATATAAATGTTATAGTAAGTAGACTATATCTCCCTCTTAAAGGGTTAGTCCCTTAATTCTTATTTAGTTAATGTATTCCTTTATGCGCTATTTAAAGAATTTAAGTTAAACTTTAAATTCTTCTTATAATTAAATTATATCTTTTATAAGTATGTGTATATTGTCTGCATTTAGACTATTATAAGGTAGTTTATAGGCTTTTAATATAAACCTATAATTAGTGTAAAATAGTATAACTCCTGTGGTTTCTATTATAGAGCTATTATATTACATTTAAGCAATTAATAGTATCTTAACTTAGTTATTTTACTAAAGGTTAATATAATATTATAAGTATACTTTAATAACTTAATTTATTTATTTTATCTATTTATTTATTTATAAATAAAATGCAGTGCTTAACTTATAGTAAGTTTTAAATTTAGCTATTAATTTTTATTAGAATTTAAATATAAAGGTACTTCCTCTATTTAATATAATTTCTTTTAATATTCTATATTTAATAAATATATATCTTATATAAAGATGCGCTAAGTTTTTTATATTATGCGCTTTCTTATATAGTAAGAAGTATACTTACTTTAAGAGTTTATTTATAATAATAAAAATATTATTAAATTATTTCCTAGTTAATGGATTTTTTAACTTAGGCAGATTAGTAATATGGTTAAATGTAATAGTATGTTAATTCCTTTCCGGAACTAGGATTAGTTATAATATTCTATATAGCTAATGCCTTTTATCCTTTATTTTTTTATATATATTACATTTCTTAATGACTTCTAAGATTTTATTCTTTATCCTTAGAAATTTATAGTATTATATTATATAGTTTTATATTATGCGAATACTATAATATATAGCTGTAATTATACTTTAATATAAGTCTTAGATTACTTTAATTTATAATTCTAATAGTACTTAAATTTTTCCTTTTTATCTTAGTAATCCTTCTTTAATAGTTACTTCTTCTAGGAGTTTATTTAGTTCTATTTGTGCTATATATTCCCTTATTTTATTAAGAATAGGGTTATGTTTTTCTATAATAAATAGAGTGTTAATTTATATTTATTTATAATTTCCTTAATAATTCTTCCTTAAAATCTAGGCTTTAAATTCTAGGATTTCCTTAAAGTGTTTTTCTTTCCTATTTAAGGCATTTACTTATCCATTAATAGTACTATTATAATAAATAAGTTTATAATTAAAGTTTAATAGTGTCTTAAAGTAATAAGTTTATTATATAAAGAGTTTTTAAGTCTTAGTAAAGTATATAATATTATAATAATTAATGTAAACCTTAACCTTATACTTACTTCCTAAATAGTAATATCTCTATTCCTTAAATACTTTAAGAATTACTATAAATTCTTTATTATAAATAAGATACTTTAATTTTAGTTTATATAGTTTTCGCAAGAAGAATACTATTAAATGGTTTTTTTTATTTTTATTTTTTTATATTAGTACTCCCCTAATAGCAAAGTTTAATAAGTTAGTTTTAATTTCCAGTGGTTTATTAAGATTATATATAATAAGTATAAGTTTACTAAGAAGTGTGTTTTTAAGTTATTTAAATGCTTTTTTTATTTTTAATTTATATATAAGTTTCCTATCTTTTAGTTTCTTCTTGCCTTTCTTATTTTCTTTAAGTTAAGTGGCGTTAGTAAGTAGCTTTATAATTTTACTATAGTTCTTAATAAATCTTTAATAGTAATTTACTAAGCCTAAGAAGCTTTATATTCCTTTTCTTATATTAAGTAGCTTTTAATCTTAAATTACTTTAAGTTTATTTAAGTCTATATAGACTTATCTTAGTAAAATTAAGTGTCCTAGGAACTTAACTTCTTATATATAAAAACTATATTTCTTAAGTTTTACTAATAGGTTAGTGTTTTATAATGTTTATAATACCTTATGGATATATTCCTTATATTCTTTAAGGGTTTTTAAAAAAATAAGGATATTATTAAGGTAAATAATTATAAAGTTATTAATATATGCT